GATTGATCCAATCAAGGCCTACCTTAAGGAGGGAGTTCTCCCAAATCAAAAAGCTGAGGCAAGGAAGCTTAGGCTTACCGCGGCTAAATACTCAATCATCAATAACCAGTTATACCGAAGGTCATTCTCCGGTCCTTATCTCAAGTGTTTAACCCCTACTGAGGCTCTCACAATTTTAAAACAAATTAATGAAGGAGATTGTGGAAATCACTCGGGAGGAAGATCCCTTGCACACAAAATTCTAACCCAAGGCTATTTTTGGCCATACTTGGCTCAGAATGCCGAAGAATACTCAAGAAGATGTGACAAGTGTCAGCGCCATGGTCCAATAAAGCATCAACCTGCCGAAGGTTTGCACGCCATGGCCAATCCATGGCCGTTCGCCCAATGGGGGATTGATGTAGTAGGATCGTTACCCAAAACCGTGGGAAAAAAGGAACATGTGCTTCTGGCTACGGATTACTTCACCAAGTGGGTAGAAGCTGAAGCCTTCTCTAGCGTCACCCACGAAGAAGTAAATCATTTCATTTGGAGCAACATTATTTGCCGGTTTGGGGTACCAAAAGTCATCGTAATGGACAATGGTAAGAACCTCGATAATAGAAGTACAAGAAAGTTCTTTAACGAACATGGAATCCTGCAAAAATTGGCTGCAGTTAGTCATCGACAAGGCAATGGGCAAGCTGAAATAACTAATCGCACGATATTTGGGTGCTTAAAAAAAAATTGGAGAAATTAAAGACAAAATGGTACGAGAATCTCACTCAAGTGCTCTGGGCCTATCGAACCACTCCAAGACGACCCACGGGAGAAAGCCCATTTGCTATGGCATATGGATCCGAAGCTGTCATTCCTACCGAGTCCATAATCCCAACCCTTCGGACATCCTTGGTACTGGAAGGGAACAATGAGCAACAACTCGAACATAGCCTTGATCTTGTGGACGAAAGGAGAGATGCAGCAGCAATTCGGCTCGCGGCATACCAACAGCAGGTTGTAACAGTTATAACAAACGCGTCAGATTCGGGAGCTTTGTGGTAGGCGATTGGGTTTTGAAGTAAGAGACAGCTCATGTAAAGAAACTGGAACCTAATTGGACCGGACCCTACAGGGTTACCGAAGTAGTGGGGAAAGGAGCATATCGTTTGGCCGAAGCTGACGGACGTCCCATTGCGCGTCCTTGGAACGCAATACACCTTAAAAGGTATTTCCATTTGATAAGTTTGTCAATTTTGCTACAAATTCTTCACAAATAAGGCTGAGTATGTCCACAGTCAGCTAAACTTTTCTTTATTTTGCTTTTATATTCAGTACAATTCTACTCTATTTATTTCAAAAGCATCCACTACAGTAGGACTTGGGGTAGGAGGAATTGAAGCCGCAGGGGCAGAAGAGCTAGGAGTACCCTTCAGGTGCGCCTTCACCATCTCGGTAAAGCGGATTTCAGCTACAAAGCCTGTGGCCCTTCATCATATGGGAAGTGCACCCCCACCTGCTTGTCAAAAGCGTCCGGATCCATCGTCCTAGGGCCTGAGCCCTGATTATAGCTAGACCAGAACGCTTTAGCACTAGCCAGGTGTGCCAGACAGGAGTAGCGCCCCTGCATTTGCTTCCCGGCCTTGAAGCAAGTAGTAAGAGCCTCGGTCAGGAGTTGAATTTCGGCCTGAAGAGAATCCACCTTAGCCTCAGAGGCAGCCAACTGCCTCTTTTAGACATCCTTGGCTTCAGTAGCTATCTTCAGATTGGTAGAGGTAGTGGTGGCTCTCTTCTCTGCATTTTCAAGATCCTTTTCCAGCTTCTTGATAGAGAGGGATTGGGCTTCAGCAGTGGCGCAGAGGGCCATGGTGTGGTATTGACTCTATATAACAGAGGAACAAATATGAGCATAAATGGAAACATAAGTAAGCAAGAGTAACATAATTCTGAAGGAGTAATGCGAACCTCTATGGCCCGGACCGGGGCAGAGGGGAGTAGTTGTTCCAACCCCATTTGGCTGATGGCTTCCTCGTCCTTTGGGAGCCACATCCCTCGGGCCACAGCCAGTGCAGCTGAAGGGTCTGTGATCACAGAATCCCCTGAATGCAGGACTAACTTGTCAGCCCTGGTGAAAGAAGGAGTCCAAGGAGCCCCAGTTTCAGCCAAAACAAATGCCCTGACTTCATCTTCAGGTTCGGCCTCTCCAGCCTTTTTCCCTATGTTTTTAGAAGGGACCTTGCCCTTGCCAGAGGATGGAGGGTTGAGGCGAGATTTCTTCATTGGTGGTTCCTCAGCCTCCACCTCACCCTTAGTAGATCTAATAACAACCAAGGGTTGGGCATCTTCGGCTTTCTTTTTTAAAGCCTCAGCCCTCTGTATCTCCTCCTCAGTTATGGGGAAACTGTCAAAGGATGGTAGAGACAGATCCATGAGGTCTGCAGCAACAGCACTGGAGGCAATATCCTTGAGGTTTGAAGAAGTTAGCAGGTCCTCGATAGGCGAGGGGTCACTCTAGACTCGTTCCTCAAGAAAAGAAAGTCTGTTCCTTGCTGCGGAGGATGGGAATGTAGCTGAAAAAACACCAAGAAACTCATAAGTACGGCGAAACATTAAGACTTGGCAAGGAAAACAGCCAGAACACTTGGTATGAAGGGAGGTTAAGTATTCTATACCTAATTTCCCAAACTTGCGCGGGATGGGGAGCGTAATTGATTGGGGCACGAACCATTTTCCTTTAACTATAACCATCCTTTCTTTCCACTTCTTCTCGGATGAAGGAAGGTTCGTGCATATCCTCTGATGAAGGGGAGAGGTAAAAAAAGAAGCGATCAGGCTCGGTCCCATGCTTAGATATATTGTAAGTAAGCAGAAGGTCGGCAAAGGTCAAATCCAGAGCCTCTAATTTCCGGCGCACCAACAGTGCCGAAAGGATGCGAAAGAAATTAGGATTTACCTGAAGGGGGGCAAGACCTAATTTGTTGAAAACTAAATGATAGAAGGGGTGAAGAGGGAACCGGAGGGCACTAAGATGCCCTACCGAAAGAAGCAACTCACTCTCTTCAATTCCCTCGCCGGAGGTAAAATCGGCACCCTCGGGATATTTTACAATTTCTACTCCCTCAGGAATATCAAATTCTTCCATTACCGAAGCAATAGAGAACTTGATACGGCGAATAGAGATGATTGATTTCCTCTCTTCATGAGTAAGAACATTATCAGAGCCTGAGGTGGATGTCTCGGCTGGAAGGGGGGAAGTACCTAATTGATTCAACGAAAGACGATCTGTAGAAACCCTAGGAGGGGGAGCCCTAATGCGAACGGGGGAAGACGAAGGTATGGATTCAGAATCCCCAATGTCTATATGTTCGGGAGCAGATGAAGTACTCATAATGAAAGATTGAAGAGAAAGATGCGAAAAAAAACTAACCTGACAAGGCGATGGGATGAAGAACGCAGGAGTGCAGCTAGGGCGAATGTAACTCTTGCAGAATCTTGTACGACGGAGTAATAATAAAAGTCCTTGAACCGTCTCTGAAGCGAAGTAAAAAATTGGTTTCAATTCCCTCTTTAATGGGAGCCGTCACTCAATTAAAAATGAAATTTGGGGCAAAGTGTGGAGGGAAAAAAAACTCCCTCCAATAAGAAGCGTACACGTCATCACTACACATATCTACATTCCAAGGACATATAAGGCCCGTCATGCTCAAGCCCAAATTGAGTGTATTTTTAACCCAAGACCATTGTTATTTGTCTTCCAACCTCCATCAAGGCCGAATCAAGAGGTCATCAGCCCAACTTATTAATATTGAACATCCGGTCCGTTACTCAAGCCCAGCCGGATCAAAGTATGTTCAGCCTAGTTATTCAAGAATGCACAAGTCCTACCAGTTGAAGGATTTACCGTAGAAGGAAAATTCTGAGATAGGAAGTTCTGTACAAGGCAAGTTCTATGTATGGAAAATTAGACAATGGAAAGAACTCTATTAGTAAAGAATGTTTATATAGAAAGAATTGGAGGACAAGTAACGCGAGTCCTACCATAATTTTACAATCTTTTGTATATAAATAGAGGCTTAGACCTCCAATAAAGGGATCAAGCAATTCTACGCTTCGACATATATTGTTCTTGTTTATTTTTACTATTGATTGAGTGAGTTGTTTTATTTTTCTTAATCATTATTGGTTGAGCGAAATTTTGCACCTACAGTGCCCTTAATCATAAGATATGGATCATTCAAGGCAAATTAGCAAGGTGTTCTGTTCAAATCCAAATTTGAAACTAAACTTCTCTTCATGATGATAGATGGTTGAAAGTTAATGTAGATCTGACTTTTGATTCACTCCATCCGACTTCCAAATACTGTGGAATGAAAAGAACGTGGAAGAAAGGAGGGGTAGTGTGGGAAACTAACGAATTACGAGGTTGTTTTGGTAAAAGCATATGCAGAGGTTGAGAACAAAATTAGCGAATTTGAATCTTTGTCGTCGGAAAAGCTGCAACCGAACACAAATTAATTTCATCAATTAGGTGACAAATTAGGGTTAATTACAGTAAGTTGAGCGTATTAATGTGAAAAGTGTTAAATGTACGTTGGCGATGAGGAATTCGTTGATGAAAGGACGGTGGACGTTGTAGGTGTCGAGGAAGGTGACGCCGGAGTTAATGGGGGTGTTGGATGAGGGCGATCATGTCGGACTTCATCCTCCTCACTCTCTCTATCTACTCTCCTGTATAATATATATATATATATATATATATATATATATATATCGATATAGTGGTATTTATAAAGAGAGAGAGAGTGAAATTGTGAGAGACTTTATAAAAATTGGTAGGAGAAGGCGGACATAAAAGAGTAAAAAAGTTGGGAGTTTTAGAGGGAGCTCCACGGTAAGCTTCTGGTGAGACTCAAAGCGAATGAAAAGACACGTGGAAGAAAGGAGGGGTACTATAGGAAACTGAAGAATTACGAGGATGTTTTGGTAAAAGCAAATGCAGAGGTTTAGGGCAAAATGGGAAATAAAAAAATTTGAACCATTCCTCAAATTGTGCGTGTCATCCTTGCTCAGGGGCTGTGCTAATCTTCTCTGTAAGGTTCCAATTCTCTGTAATCTTCTCTGTCGTCTGAATTCGTTTATTATTTTAAGTTTAATACAATTTTGTTATTTCACTAGTAAGAAAATACTGTAATTTTTGAATTAGGGAAAACATTGTATATTCTAATTGACACATCTAGTTTATTTATTTATTTATTTTACAAACAAATGCATAATATTGGTATTTTAATTCGTCATATTCAATCTGAATTTTGAAAGGATGTCATGTGTTACTGTTCTTTGTATACAACACTTATCATGAAAATGTCCGAAGCATTTGAAAAGTGTTAATCATGAAATTACTCTATTTATGCAAGAAATTAAATAAGAGAATATTATTATTAACTCTAACGAATTGGCTCTAGTGACTAAGTCTTGGGAGTTAGTGTCTCGGAAAATATAAAATTTAAGTTTCGAATCCTTTTGAATGCGATCAATTCTTTAAGTGTCACAATCGCAGATACAATCTGAGATTTATTTAAATCAATGAAAAAGGTTAGTTTGAGAATGTTACAAATAATTATTAAATCAAATCAATGTAAAATTTTAGTTTGAGAATGTTATTGTATTGATAAGAATAAATTTTTAAAATTATTTTTATTAAAAAACAAATAAATACTTTGTAATTAATGCACAATACACTTGTTAAATCAAATTAATGTAAAAATTAGTTTGAGAATGTTACAAATAATTGTACATTATTTTTAGAATGAAACGTTTATTTTGGGACATTTCAAAATAAATATATGAACAAAAAATTTAGGACGGAGACATTAATTTTTTGTTTCACGATGTGTCATTACATGATTAAATAATTCACGTCCGAGTCATAATACACATTGGTCAATGTAGAATTAATGGACCGGAAATATTAGTCAAGCCCCCACTGCCTAGCAAGAGAAATGTTGTTAGACCAATGAGTAATGACCATGTGTATGTATCCGTTGAGACACGTGGCCTATAAATACCTCATTTAAAATTTAATTTTTTAACATTATTATTTTAACCTTCTAGCATAACAAAAAATAATAAAACTCAAACAGATTTTCAAAATGAATGTTTAATTAGGTAACAAAAAATAATAAAACTCAACAGATTTTCAAAATGAATGTTTAATTAGGGAGTTGGGACGAAAAGGTACAAGCTTAAAATGTCTTGTGTAAGGACTGAAATCCAAGAACAATTTAGAAAGTTAAAATTTGGACATCTCAAAATGAAAATTGAACACTTTTGATTCAGGGAAATTTTTTTTGAACACTTTGGGACATTCAATAAAGAAAAACAGTCACAATATAAAAAATTTACAGGAGCAATTTAGAAACATTTAAATTTCTAACATTATTCATTTAGGTATGGACTATAACATGTAAAAAATTTGGCCCCAGCAGAGATCGATTATTCATTTATATTTTTTTCTAAAATGGCGAGACTAAAAAAATAAAAACACATTAACGCACAATATGATATCTCATGAAGTCGGTCTCTATTAGATCTAAATTTTTTATATGTTATGATCCATATGTAAATGAATAATTTTAAAAAAGTTCTTACAAATATTTTGAATATTTTATCTTTTAAAAATAAAATAAAATTGGTGAAACAAATTATTCAAATGTGTAAAATTTATTAAACGTTATATTTTATTTAATTAATTTTTAGGATATTGCCTAAAATTTATTGAACGTTATCCTTTATTTAATTAATTTTTTATCCTAATAATTAAATGGTTCCACTAACTATTAACGCTCTAAACGGAAGAAGTTAGCAATATATAAGCAATAATTAATGCCAACGGCGCAAAATTGTACGTACTTTGAAAACTGAAGCGTAACAGTGCGCCGATGTCCAGTCCGTTGCCCAACCAATCAAAAAATATTGAAGTGATGGCATTGCCCTCCCTTATATATATATATATATATATATATATATATGACTATATAGTATATACTTAGCTTCCCTTTGAAGTTAATTTTTGAAATAAATTAAAAAATTATATTATATTATTATTGTAATAATTTTTATATCATATATATCATTATTTTACTATTTTATCACGAGAGTATTCATATAATTTCAAGATTACTAGGTAGACTTCTGTTAGAATATTCGCGAAGTGTTCGAAAAGTATCAGTGAAGTGTTGGCGAAGTATCTGAAATAATAAAATTAATTTTTATTTATGAACACATATATGAAGTGTCGAACACGTATTCAAAGAGTGTCTGACATCGATATAACACGAGTATGTCTCCTTCATAGAAATGTTTGTCCTTCTTAACTTTTGAGTATTTGCCCAAGAACTTTATGCTACTTGATTTCATGTATAGAAAATAAGAATATTAAGATATATGATTGAAGTACGTGGTTGCAAAAGAAAAAAAATTAAAGTAAATGGGAGAGATAGAATACAAATGAAAGTGCCTCAAAAAAAATTGAGAGCAAGGCATTGAGAAAATTAAAAGAGATATACGATGAAAATATATATGAAGGAGAGGTCACTTTTTATTATTATTATTATTTTTAATACGTCTAAATATTATTGCTTGTAAATAAATTCCATCGTTTTTCTAAAATTTATAAAATAAAAAAATTTAAGTTGTGCCCTTCTTCAAAGGGAATCGGGGTTCGAGTTTCGGTGAAAGTATGGAATATGAATTTGCTTAATTCTCAAAAAAATAAAAAATAAAAACACACACACAGAATAAAAACATTTGCTTAAACAATAAAAGGTTACATACATGTACCGTAAAAAATAACAAAATAAATTTGAAAGTTTTTTTTTTTTTTTTTTTCCTAAATAAATTTGAAAGTTGACATGGTAAGAAACATGAATCTTTCAGGCCTGTAGGTCCTACAACAAATGGGCTAAGCCCAATATCCAACAAACCCAAATCTACAAAACCAACTAGAACATTACAGATCCAATAATCCAATTACAATTTATACTATTTCATTTAATTACAAAAGGCTTCATATACATATGCGCCAATTTGTATAAAATAATGAGACTATATATATATATATATTTTGACACCAACGAAAAACCATCATACTACCATAGCATTAAGTAATATTTCCCCTGTTCCATATTAGTTGTCAACTCCAAAATTTTGACTCATAATTTTAGTATATAAGTATATTAAAGGAATATGACTAAAAATAACATCAAAAATAAAAGGTGGTAATGAATCAAAGTTTTTCAAATTAACAACTATTATGAGATGGAGATAATATGACAAATATAATTAGAAAGAAAAACGTCAAACAACCACGGACCAAACACTTTGCTCATAATCACAACATTCCGTTACGAGGCTCATTTTGCTCAACAAGTGAGCTACCTTAACGAGATTATGGGTCAATCTATGTGCACATAATATCAATACTAGAATAAGATTTTTATTATTATCATTTTTTTTATATGTTTTTTTAGGAAAAAGTTACATTTTTTTTTTCTTTAATGATAAACTATAAGTCGACCTACCTCCAACTTTCTCTAAAAATAAAAAAGAAAACTCATATTGTGCATGCGCACTCTATCTTTATTCATTGTAATAAATAATAAATTATTAATGTAACATTGCTATTTTACAAATTAAATAATTTGCAATTTTCACATTATAAGTTATATTTTATTTAAAATTAATAGGATTAGTACAATCACATGCAAATGTATTAACTTGTTAACTTTGTCTATAAAAACCCATACCGCCACCTAGAGAGACGTTGATAAGAGAATTCAAAATTAAAAAAAAAATGAAGAAATCAAAAATAGAGAGAAGAAAAAGTGATGGAGATCAAGCTGAGTCTTCTACGTGTATCCCTCGCTAGGACAGAAGCAATGGAGAATGTTACGAGCAATGGAACATTTTAGTCCCATTGCAGTGTTCGAATGCTGCTTAGATCGTCTTCTTGCTAAATTATTGTTTTCTTTTGTTACCTATTACCAAGTTATGTTTTAGCTTTCACCATATCCCATAAATACAGAGCTTGGACTTGGTTTCTTGGTGAGTAGCAGAATCACCTCCCACCCTTATTTATAGGCAAAGATATTTACAAGCTTCACAAATCCAATGGTTTCCAAAAATCCAGAATTCTAAAATACTCCAAAGGATGTTTAAGATATTTTGAAGACTATTTGCATAATTCTAAAATATTTTAGATAATAGTAGACAAGTCTAGGCTACACACTCTTACGTAATTCTTTATTAGTGTATAATATTCTATAATGGTGGAGTTATAGAAACTAATAACTACTATGTCATTGAGGTTGACATAGATCTAAGCATTGTGGTTAATCTCTTTATTCATTAACTCACTTAAGAGGTCGAGTGTGTTCAGGATAGAATTAAAGCTTAGGTGGCCAGACAAGGTCAACATGGGAATATAAAATTTTCTTAGGAACACTCTAAAAAATTATGGGCTTCGTTTGGGTGAATTAATGAAATGGGGTAGCATGGTAATTTGACTCATACAGTGAAAGGTTATTTTCGACCACAAATTGAACAGTGAAAGTTCATGTCCATGTTATTAATTTAGTCAACTTTATTTTCTCAAAATTATAGGACTTTTAATATTGTAAGTATAGGTCCATAAAGTCCATTTATATGTAAAAATTTCTTTTTTTTTATTATTAAAAATACCAATCATTCGTAGTCAACGCTTGGGAAGCGGTCAACTTTCGATCTCCTTCCAAAAATAAACTTTTTTTCTCTCACATTCTAGCTTTTTTTCTCCCTTTAGAGATCGGAAAAAAAAATTCTGATTTTGAAACCAAAACTATTTTCCCTATTTTTGCTCTCCCTCCCTCACCAATAATTTCCCTCAACAATACTGAAAGAAGTTTTGGATTGTTTTCAATCTCTTGCTGCAGAAACACAGAAAAAAAGCTGATTTTTTTTAAAGGAAGAAGTTGGCCACTGCTGACCTGTTTGAAAGAAATGGTTAACCACGTCTGACATGGATGCCCTTTATAGCCAATAAATATATATAAACATAAACTCAGGTTTTGAATTATAACAAGACTATTAACTCAA